TCAAAAAAAACAGTTAAAAGTACGTGGATTGAATGTAAATAATGAAATAAATGTAGAAATCATATCTAACAAATATTTTTATTTTTAATTAGCTTCACGCTTCCTCGAAAAAATTGTCTACGCGACCCCTTGTGGGCCGAGCCCCCTCGTTTAAGAACCACTGGTGTTCTAGTTGGGTAGTCAAGGCACGGAAACTTGCTTTGCATTGACGAATTGACAAATCTTTGACACCTGTCTCCGAATCCGGTCAAAAATTGGAATCCGACTGTGGAGAATTTGAAAATACGACTCCGACTACGAAGAATTCGAGAATACGATTTCAACTACGGAGAATTTGAAAATAAGAATCCAAATCTGGAGATTTGAAAATAGGACTCCGATTCCGGAGATTTTGAAAATACGACATCGAATTTGGTGATTTTAAAAATAGGAATCCAACACCGGAGAATATGAGAAGAAGACTCCGACACCGAAGAATTTGAGAATAAGAATCGACTCCAAAGAAATTTGAAAGATGACTCCGACTCCGGAAAATTTGAAAAGAAGACTCCGATTCCCAAGAATTCAATAATATGACTACGATCCCGCAGAATTTTTTTAGATGACTCCGACTCGGGAAAATTTTAGAATAAGACTCCGACTCTAGAGAGTTTTAAAAGATGCCTCCGACTCCGGAAAATTTGAAAATAGGACTCTGAATCCGGAGAATTTGGAAATATGACTCGGATTCAAAAAATATCCGATTGGTCGCAACCGACACCCATATTTCTCGAGCATTCTGGCAAATAAATTATTATTATCAAACTAATTCACCTGTCGTGGCGAATCCAATGCACATGAACAGCAGCTTGAAAGCTTCCATTGCAGACTGATTTTATTCTAAGCACGAAATCCTCTCCAATAGAAGCATGCAATTCTTCTAACAATACTATTTCCACTCTTAGTTGAGCACTTTATATGAGCATTTATTAAAAAAAAAATATAAACAGACTAACTTCATAACATTGCAGCCTAAATGAAACCCCGAGCATAATTAACAAAGGAAGTCCTGGTGACGCTTTCTAATTGCACACTGTCAAAAAGTTTGCAATTTTCTATGTCATTTACGAGTAATTCTCTGGCGTGGATTGTCGTCATAAAGCTCGTTTATTAATAAGTCATATATGACCAAGCATAATTACATTCAAGTTTGCTGGAACACTTTATTTAGTCATAGACCCTATTGTGTATGATTGTATGACATCATAGGCCATTAAAACGCATCCTTCCGCATGTAGATTGCGACTGAACACCCATTAATATGAGAATACACGATATAATAACTTGTATGTGATATAACAATATACATTCAATATATATCAGGGATTCCCAAACTGAGGGTCGTGACACGGAAAGAAGTCGCGCAACGAATTTTAGGGGTCGAAAAATTTACAACAATTTTATACAAATTATCAAAAAAAACATATCCCAAATTTTCGATTCGAAACTCAATTATTAAAACTAGTGAAAAACATAAATCTCACGATTCGAGAGAATACATAGAACCAGAGAAGCTGGCTGCTACATAACAATGCCGACTTGGATCCTAAGGGACAGGGAGTCGCGGGATTTTTTTATTTTATTGGAAGGGGTCGCGAGCCTGGAAGTTTGAAAGCCCTAATATACATCATAGGCGTAATTGAAATGCGGTTAGAAACAGTGGTGATATTCAGGCAGCTTGCACAAACGATCTTGGAATGTCTTAATAATAAGAAAACTCGTTCTTGTTTATTCAGGGCAGGGTTGTGCAACATTTAATGCAGGAGGGTCAGATACAAATAAATGGGTGAAACCGCGGGCCGCATATAGACTTTCTAGTAGTTGCAGCCATGAAAATTTTGGCTATTGATCTGATAACATGCGTTGTTCGCTTCGCACAAACTAGCTGTTAGGGCAGTGTTTCCCAGCCCGAGTCCGCGATCTCAAATGAGTCCGCGGAGCGTTTGAATGAGTCTGCAACGAGTTAGAAATTGACTGCGGGCCGCAAACGTTTTTGCGAAACTTAACTATCAGCCAAGTTACGATTTACTTTAGAATTTACATGAAACATAAAAAGCAATTTTATTCACATAACATTAATCGAGTCAATATTTACTGGTTTCTGAGTAGGGCTGGGCATATATTCGAATATTCAACTATTTGAATAGCAATTTACTATTCGAAAATTTGGCAACAGATGACGCTACAGGCCACTTGCGCGTCGCCTAATCAAACAATTGCATTTCACAACTCACTTGCGGATTTCCGACGAAAACACGAGTCGGCACACGCGTCGATAGATACCTAAGTGGTGTTTCTCGCGAATTCGAACAACGAGGAATAATTTTTTTTTCTGTTAGGTGTCAATGGTGGCAACCCAAATTTTCTAAATTGAAAAGCGCCAATACAAAATACTGAAAACACCATAAAACGCCAAAAAAATAATACGGAGAATACCATTAGTTTTATGAGGGTCCGCGACCGATTGAAAACGCTTTTTAAGACATTGCAAATCGCAAAATTCCGGGTGCTACTGTAGTATACGTACCAGGGAATTTTCACTTAGGTACGTACGTACAGTACTGGAGCGCCGTAAGTGTTGTACGAACAACTCAGATTTGTCGAATTCACAAAAATACGATTCAAAACAAAATATAATCGGGCACTTTACCACGCATTTTTGTGTCTCCGGATTGTCATGATATTTTCTGGGTAGTATTGCTTTTATTCAGTCAACACAACCGCAGATTAAAATGATCACAATTAAATTTATAATAAAGCAAGGTGATGAATATGTATTTTTGATTTACTATTCACTAAATCACGTTGTACTTTCTGGAAATTTATGGCAGATAGTAAGATAGTAAGACTAACGACGATAACAAAATCGCAAGATCGCAAAAACTAAGTATCAAAACTAAATATAATCGGGCAATATATTCTCACATTAGTAGGTTCGCAGATTGTCGCAGATTTTAAAGAAGTAATGCTTTCATCTTGTCGTAAGTCGACGCAACCGCGAGTTACCATGGTTTTTGCCTTTGAAAAAATAGTCCGCGACTAATAAAGGGATGGAAACGCTGTGTTAGGGCATTGTAACGTCACAGGCATAGATAATTGAATCCGAGTACGTATAGGCCTTGTAATGTGATAGGATTGAAGTTACTCGCATGTACTAGATTGAACTAAATGAAAAACTCGTTTCGCGGGCACTTCTCCGTGGGGCCGTGTTGGCCACATTTGGCCCGCGGGCCGTAGGTTGCTCACCCCTTATTGGGGCTATAAATTTGGCACGGTTATTGGAATGAGGAGCCCAGTTGTTAGTAAGTTCGATGCAAAAGGGACCATGAATTCAATATTTTGAATCTCATCACCGAGTAAAATCTTTGTATTTTGCGTAACAGATTAAAGGACTCATCAGAAGTATGTGTGCCAATATGGATGTAACTAATTTCGTTCGTCTAATTTACATCAAGTTGTGCAAAGGGTAGGGCTGGGAATTTCAGAGAAAAAAACTTTAACCGTTAACAGAGTAAAATTAACCGGTTAACCGCCGCCTGACGTTTGACGCAATAATTTATAATAATTTTATAATTTATAATTATCGCTTATTAAAATTATTCACGAATCGAGATAGTTTCATGATTGCTCTGCTGCAATATAGGCAGCGTGGTTCGGGCGTGTGGAAGTATTTTAGAAAACCTGATTCCGTTGTTATACGTCATTAATGTGACAAATTATCAGTGTTCGATGTGCAAATTTTACTTCGAGATATATATCATATAAAAAAAACGGCATCAACTGCGCATTTGTTGTATGACATTGAATATCCGATTTTGCAATCAAATCGTGAACAATATATTTCGAAATCGACCGAAAACTGATTCTGAATTTATCATTGTCAAATTTCCATAATCAGCAATCTTGGTACTTCCATTATTTTTCACATTTATTGAGTCCTTACCCACACAGTTAGTAATATTCTTCGGAAATAAATGCCACTAGAGATAAATTTGCGATGACGTAATCATATTTAAAGAAATTGTACGGTATGAAGATGATTTGGACCTGAGATGCCAGTTAACGATTAAAATAAATCGTTACCGTTAACCATCTTAACCGGTTAACCATTCTCAGCCCTAGTGAAGAGACAAAAGCCTATGGGTACGAGGGTTAATCATATATTCACTTGGCTAACACAGACAGTCCCCGAACTCGTAATGGAACTAAAATGGGGAAAATCGGAATAAAATTATGGCCTAACCCTAACCTGGTACACATACTACGGGAGTACCCAAACTAAAAAAAGGCCGTCATATTTACACAAGTTACTATTATATAAAAACAAATTGAAGACCTTAGAATAACTTGTATTTATTTGTATTAAAGAGTTGCTACATTTAGCTTATCAGCGCTTTCATGGGATTGCAGGGACTTAAAGGGGATTACATACTATTTTACCACTTATTGGACACGAAATGGACCTATGGATCGTTTTGTTATTATATTGATGTTGTTCTTTGTTATGAGAATTAAGTTCAGTTATTCCTGTTGCAGTGTGCTACACTTTGTGATCCTTTTGCTTATACTCCGTCATTATTACATTATTGTTCTTTGTGTTGTGATCACTGATTATCGTCAGGCGACAACGGACTGCATTCGTCTCACTGCTTTAGTTACTGACTTTTACGAGTATCAGACGGTGGTCCGATTAAGTTTGTCCATATTTAGTGACTCGATGTAATTATGTTGCATGTTCTTGTGTTTAGGTTGAGATGCGTTTTTAGTTTCTTAAAGCCATAATCTTGGTTATAATAAATAAACTGTTTTAACAATTTAAGAGAATAATATCTTTAACATGGATGCATCGATGAAACCAGCGATACTTGATCTGAGTCTAAATTCTCCAAGTGCGGCAAAGAAATGGAAGCACTGGCGAAAAACATTTGAGAACTACGTTAAAGAAGAGTGGAGCGTTAGAGATGAGTGTCAAAGAGGGCCAGTCCGTGAATAAATTCAAGAGGCTAATCAACTCTGTGTCTCACAATGTTTATGAATATATTGAGAATGTGGGCACTTATAGTAAAGCTATGGAAGTGCTACATAGCTTGTATGTCAAGACACCTAATGTAATATTTGCACGACATCTGCTAGCTCCGGCAAAGAAACAGCCTGTTCAATCCATCGATGAATTTCTACAAACTCTGCGTAATCTTAGTGAAGACTGTAATTTTAAAGATGTTTCTGCCGCACAGTACGGCGACGAACTTATACGTGATTCTTTTATCAATGGTATTTTGTCAAATAACATCCGACAACGTCTTTTGGAGAACAAGGACTTGACTCTTGAATTAGCGTTTTCTCAAGCATCATCCTTTGATCTGGCGCAACGTAATTCGCCAGCCTATGAAGCATCTAGAATCGACGAATTGCAACTTTCGGCATCGGCCACTTCCGAAACCTCTTTCAACAATGAAGAAATAGTAACTGGTCGTATAACAGGGCGAAAATGTATATTCTGTGGATATAATTACCATAATCGTCAAAATTGCCCAGCTAGCAATGCCAGTTGTTACGAATGCGACAAAAAAGGCCGCTTTGCCAAAGTTTGTCGATCAAAGATGAATAAGCCGGGAAACTTTCCATCTATAACGGCGTCAGCTTCTTCATCAGTCGACGATGTACAATCGGCACCAAGGTGTTTACTGCTGGCAACGCTTCCAGCTGCCATAGCTGGTCGCAACATCACTGCGTTAATTGATAATGGTAGCTCTCTCTTTTTTATAAACGAAAAAACTGCGAGAATGTTACGTTTGAAAGTTTTGCTTTCATGGGAAAATGTGGTGATGGCTGTCCAGCATCTGCAAGGAACGACTATTGGATCATGTTTAATTGATTTGATAATTGGTACTCGTTCATATACCAAAGTGCCTCTCAAAGTATTTCAAGGTCTATGCTGTGATTTATTGCTTTGTCAGGACTTTCAAAGACAATATGAAAGAGTCGTAGCTTTTTTCTTTTAACGGCTCTCGTCCTGAACTTCTAGTTCAATATGAATCAAAAGTATGTGGTTTAGCTGCTGCAAACTACACACCGGCTTTGTTATTTTCTAATCTCAAGAAAAATTGCCATCCGATAGCGGTTAATTCTCGCCGCTTTGGCGCGTTAGATAAAGAATTCATAGCTGAAGAAGTTTTGAGAATGTACAACGAGAGATTTATCAGGCCACGTCATTCGCCATGGAGAGCACAGCTTTTAGTTGTGAAGGATCCATTGACCTCAAAACGACGATTGTGCATAGATTATTCTCAAAGGATAAACATTTATACAGAGCTAGACGCCTATCCATTGCGCGAACTTGCCGGATATTCCTGGTTTTCTATCTACGATCTGAAATTTGCGTATCATCAGATTCCAGTACGCCAACAAGATAAAATTTTCATTGCTTTTGAAGGCGATGGTAATCTCTGAGAGTTCATTCGTATTTCATTTGGAGTGACCAAATGAGTACCAGCTTTTCAGAGACTAATGGATGGAATTGTCAAGAAAAGCAATTTGAAAGATACATTTCCACACCTTGATAACCTAACTATAGCTGTAGGAGCTATACAAAGGAGGAGCATGACTATAACGTGAGGAAATTTCTCGATACTGTTAAAAAAAACAATTTAACATTAAATGATACAAAAACAGTTTCAAATGTACGAAAAATTAACATTTTGGGATATACAGTGGGTAATGGACATTGCAATTTCAGTCACACTAAATCAGGGAGGGCGAACAGTGGCATTTTGGTCGCGTGTTCTACCGAAGAGAAAAAGACCACAGAAGAGAAGAAGAGGCAACGGCAATCATTGAAGCTGTGCGAAAGTGGGCCCATTTTTTGGCAAGACGCCCGTTTACTATTGTGACCGATCAACGTTCAGTTTCTTTCGTGTTAGATAGCTGTCGTCGATCCAAAACAAAGAACAATAAAATTCAATCCTGGAGGCCGTAACTAGCCTCATTCAGTTACGACGTTAGATAAAGACCGGGAAAACAAAATGTCGCGCCTGATGCTTTAACACGTTCTACATGTGCATCATTTTTTCTCACTTCATTGAAAGAAATACACGAAGGTTTTATGTCACCCAGGCGTCAGAAGACTTCTACATTTTGTCAAATGGAAAAATTTGCCTTTCTCTACTGATGACGTGAAAAAAACTTGTAAATTATGCCGCGTATGTGCAGAGCCTAAACCGAAATTTTATTCTCCACCGTATGGCACATTAATCAAGGCCACACGCCATTTGAAAGACTGGGTATGGACTTCAAGGGACCTTTACCATCGCGGTCTTTAGATAAGAATTTTCTACTTCTTGTTATGAAAAAATTGCAGCACCTCTTGCTTATAACCATGGGATTCGAACATGCGAACCCACGCACGTAATCAGAGGTGCAGTGGCAAGCGTATTCCTAACGCTTAGCACGATGAGCCACACCGCCGATAAAATATTGACCTCCGTGTCCATATATTTGATCATAACTTTCTCGTATTGTTACTAGCTTTGCTGCCGCAACCAAACTAAAACCAAATTTTTAGGTTTGGGCTAAAAATAGGCTCAGGGAATTTGTTTAGATTGCGATCAAATTTAGTTTTGGCATTAGGCTTAATGTTCCCCACTTTTCTTTTGTAACATTTTAAATATTGTCACAATTACATGGCCCGCCATTCTAGCTGGGCAAAATTTTTGGCCCCTGGTCAAAAAAACTTGACCTACCCTGTACTAAGCCGTACAACGCCATAATTGTTTCATGCTATTTTAGATAATATGTAATTTAGAAAGATTGAAAATATACTATTTTCAAATTCCATGACGCCCGTAAGCTAATTTCTTACCTTTCCACAAAATCAATTTAGACTATTCTATCTTCAAAAAGCATCAGAAGTGTTTTGCAAGACAATTTTATTTCCAACACAAAGTAGAAATAAAAAATTCTTTTTTTCTACCGAAACACGAAATTATTTTTCATAAATTTCATTTTTTTAATCAATAAACAATCCGGGATTCAATTTATGGATTCAATTTATGAGAAAAAAAACTAATTTCAACAAAATACTTGGAGAAAGAATGATAAGATACGGATATATATTTACCGAATAAAATACCAGAGCATCGATACAAAAAAATTCTTTTTTTCACACAAAAAAAATGAAACGTTTAAATTTTAAATTAAACTGATGTTTTGACAGACAGACCGTGGGAACGATACTATTGAAAAACGTGGTAATCTTAAAGCAAAACAATGCTTTGAATAAAGGAAGATTTTAATTTGTACCTAAACTTCTTGTCAAACACATTTTTCTTTTGTTATTTGCAGAAATAGTAACAAAACTTTAATTTTATGAATATCGGAAAGGATGTCAGAATCGAAAATGCAACAAAGAAATTGAAAACGCAGACCCAAAGGTTGGACTTAATGAACCTCATATTTGTGAAAAATTTCTCTCTATTGCTATGGTGAAAAGTAGTTCTATGAAAATATATGTGCATAGCAATTATAATATATTACAAGAGAGCTATGCTCAAATATATGCCAAAAAAACCAAAGCGAAACGGTAGTTTACCGTACCTTTCGCAGTACTAGTACCGTCAAAAACCTACGAGTTACGAGTTGTACGAAAAAGGTCAAAGAACCGCTACAAATAAATTGTTTCAATTTTTAAGAGGTCTTCACTCAAAATTTCGAAGTGAAAAGCGAATCACATAGAGCTCACAGGGTGTTTTGAATTGAATGAAAGTAATAGCCTTTTTACCAAAAATTACAATCTTTAACCACTGAAAATTTCAAAGCAATTGGACCATTAGTTTATGAGAAAGGCTTTTTTTATGGAGGGGGGGGGGGGGGGCAACAAGAAAAAATACCAACAAGAACAATAAAAGTGTCCATTAGGCATTCAAAAAACTAAGGTATGAATCAATCAACTGTCCTATAGACGTGATTAGTATTTATCACACACCCCATCTGTATCATACTACTCAATGCGGGTTATACACACACGTACACATATGCACGTACACGCGCACACACATACATGGACCCAATCTGTATTGTACATGTCTTTGAAGAGTATACATAGCACGGGCATGTAAAATCGGTTTAATGCATTTGCTTGTTAAATCGTGTGCCTTAGAATAGTAAATATTTTATTTAAGCTACACATATGTAGAAAAGTTACTTTCAAATTCGAATCATTTTTTGTTTTTTTTTCCAGTTTCTCCATCATTCAATGTTTATTTTATTCTCACAGATGGCACCGAGATATTCCCAGTCTGGACGAGCATCATAAATCCCTTGCTTGTTGTCCGGGTCTCGATTGACTTCAAGAACAACAGTTGTATATGATGGATAGAAAAACGGAAATCCTGGGGACAAAACTTCTGTTGGAAGAGATACTTCTGTACCATTGGTTAAATATAGCTTACCGTTCTGTAAAAATAAAATATCTGTTCTTAGAAATATAACAATATTGGTAATAGAAATGTACAGTAAAATGTGGTCTCAATATCTAATATATTTTATTGAAGAGTTCATGTGAGGTCACATAAGCAACGCAATTTGGATCTTTTGTACAAAACCCCGCCACTAATGTAAAAAATGTAAGATTTGAGAAAAATAACCCTGCCACGTTTTAAATTGAAAAATGAGTAATTATCCCAATCCAGTTAGGATTCGGATGATTTGAGAAAATTGAATTTCCAGCGCAATTGGCATTCCTAACCGTAACCTTAACCGGATAATTACTAATTTTATTATTTGGAGCGCTGGCTTTGTACAAAAGATCCCGCAATGCGGTTTTAATAATATACAGATTCACCTTGTAAGTCATTCCCGTACGAACTGCAATCCATAACTTTCCATCAGGAATCATTGGGCGTAAATAATCTTTCAGCTTGTTGAGGTGTGTGACGTCATAAATATTGGCCAAATTGTGATTGCAAATAGATTCAGCAACATCTAACGTGACCTTCCACTTGTCATACACGATCGCTCGGAAACATATCGACTTGTAAGTAAGCCACAGTTTTCTGAAAACAAAATTCACAATTAACAGAATTATTAATCCGTGGAAAATTATCAAAAAATTTTTTTTAATTTATTTTATAAACTCTCACTCCGAACAAAGCGCTTTGCAAGCAACATTCTGCTACCATGTTTCGGATGGACCTGAATCTTCATGGATCGGCCAAGCCATCTTAATTTATGACACGCTGGGTTTAGGTGGAGGTTACTCCTACTTCATTATTAATGCACTGGGTTAGGCGGAGGAAACAGGGCTGACACAGTTGGGCTGTAAATTCTCCAACGCTAACATAGTAGATTGGTATGCGTATTCGGATATCGCATCCCAAAGCCTCTATTTACATTCATTCGGCACCGGCTGATATTTTATGTCCGACATTACCTATCCAACCTATAATGGGCCACAGATTTTTCTGTGCTACAAAAGTGGGCCACGAAAGAAAAAAGGTTGAGAACCACTGTTCTAGTCAGACAATCTTGTCAAGCGGTCTTGTCATTCAGAGTAATTAAAAAAATCTTAGTCAAACCTGTGCTCGAGGCGGAAGTCGACTTTTGGAACGATTGAGTGGAAGCAATCGAAGTGATCGATCGAGTTGTGAACACGTTTTCAAGCACAGTTGTGGTTGTGACGTCATGAACTTCTTTGGTACTTCTTGTTGCAGATGACGTAACGGCTTTAATGATGTCATTACCTCTAGTACTGGTAACGAGAGTCGCCTCATCCAGCCCATTTGAAATTGTTGCGTCAAACTTGGTAACCTGGGTTGAATGAATCTTGTTGCCATGGTAGATATCGGTTGTTATGGTGACTTCATCAATCTGTTTATCCAGCAACGCGTTTTCCAGCGTTTCAGCCAATTTCTCTCTCAATCCTGCGCAAAATAAAACAAAATTTCTCCTTTTCTGTTGGGTATATCGGACTTCGGTTGATAAATTATTGACTCCAACATCAGCTCTCAAATACAGGCAAAAAAAAATCCAAATCCTACCCTTATGAAATCAGACTTCCTGAATATTTAGTGTTGGGGTCACTTTTAAATGAAGCAATTCATTGCGGGCCATAAAGTTTTCACCGAACATGAACACCAATTAAGTAAAAATTCACGTAATACATAAAGAATGCTTTTTTTTATTCATTCAAGTAGAATACCTCTAATGAGTTGATTCGAAGGTAGAACCAAATATTAGAACATTCGAATGACATGACAAAAGTTGAGTTTTATTTAAAAATCCAATATCAAAAAAGATTCAAATCACAAAACCCAAAAATTGTCTACATGAATCCTCTTGACTAAATTCATGTCCTAAAAGGAAATAATGTGAAAATTTAACCCATATCTCACCATGCTCATTCTTTGCCTGAAAAATAAAACAACAAAGTTGAGTCACTTACAAAAGGGTTAAACCTCAAAACAAGCGTGATATGATCCACAATTATTACGCACCGTGATCGTTTCCTCATGGCGGTATGACGTCATCACAGCACTGCCCCTGAATTCCACTTTCACAGAGATATCGACTAGAAATGAGGAAAGAAAAATTTGAATTATTCATTTATCGGGTATATCAAACTAAATTGTTACATTGCATAATTGACGCTGTAACAAAGTTGGTCTAGTCCATTGGTTCTCAAACTTTTTAAGCCGCGCCTCCTTTTTGGAATTTGTCAGGTCTCGCGCCCCATCTCAAAAATAACTAACTGACAATAATCTACAAAAAACAGGTGATAGTAATGCAAAGGAATGTTTTATTCAAAAAAAAAAAAAAAAAACTGTTAAAAGTACGTGGATTGAATGTAAATAATGACATAATGCTAGAAATCATATCTAACAAATATTTTTATTTTCAATTAGCCTCAAGCCCCCTCGAAAAATTGTCTACGCCACCCTTGTGGTCTAGTTGGGTAGTCAATGCACGGAAACTTGCTTTGTATTGACAAATCTTTGACACCTGTCTCCGAACATGTTAAAAATTGAAATCCGGATACGAAGAATTCGAGAATACGACTTCGACTACGGAGAATTTGAAAATAAAAATTCGAATCTAGATATTTGAAAATAGGACTCCGATTCCGGAGAGACTCTAACTCCGGAGATTTCAAAAATAGGAATCCGACTCAGGAGAATTTGAAAATACGTCTTCGACTTCAGAGATTTCGAAAATACGACATTGAATCTGGAGATTTTAAAAATAATAATCCGACACCGGAGAATATGAGAAGAAGTCTCCGACACCGACGAATTTCAGAATAAGACTCGACTCCAAAGAAATTTAAAAGATGACTCCGACTCCGGAAAATTTGGAAAGAATACTCCGACTCCGGAGAATTCGAGAATATGACTACGACCCCGCAGAACTTTTAAAGATGACTCCGACTCGGAAAATTCGAAAATAGGACGGAAATATGACTCGGATTCCAAAAATATCCAATTGGTCGCAACCGACACCCATATTACTTGAGCATTCTGGCGAATAAATTATTAATAATAAACGTAAATCACCTGTCGTGGCGAATTCAACGCACATGAACAGCAGCCTAAAAGCTTCCATTGCAGATTGATTTTAATCTAAGCACAAAATCCTTCCCAGTAGCAGCATGCAATTCTTCCAACAATACTATTTCTACTCTCAGTTGAGCTCTTTATATGAGTAAACATTTATTGAAAAATTTATAAATCCATAACATAGCGGCCTAAAAATAGGAAAGGAAGTCCTGGTGACGCTTTCTAATTTCACACTGTAAAAAAGTTTGCAATTTTCATATAAATCGTGGCTTGGCTTGTCGTCATAAAGCTCGTTTATTAATGAGTCATATATGGCCAAGCATAATTTCATTCAAGTTTGCTGGAACACTTTATTTAGTCATAGCCCCCAATGTGTATGATTGTATGACATCATAGGCCATTAAAACGCTTCCTTCCGCATGTAGATTGCAACTGTTGAACAGTCATTAATATGAGAACACACGATATAATATTGGCAACATGTGATATAACATTATACATGCAATATATATCAGGGCTTCACGAACTGGGGGTCGCGAACCCGAAAGGACCCACGCAACGAATTTTAGCGGTCGTAAAAAATACAACAATTTCACACAAAGTACTATATCGACTATTCTTTTTTAGACTTTTGATTCGAAACGCAATTATTACACCTAGCGCTTACAAGATAAATCCCGCGATTTCTAGTGAATATATAGGATCAGGGAAGTTGGCGACTACATCACAATGCCGAGCTTGATTGTAAGGGAAAGGGAGTCGCGGAAAGTTTTAACATATTGGAAGGGATCGCGAGCCTGAAAGTTTGGAAAACTCTGATATATCATAGGCGTAATTGAAATGGTTAGAACCTGTGACATTCATGGAGCTTGCAAGAACGTTCTTGGAGATCTTGTTTATTTAGGCCACGGGTGTGCAACCTTTAATACCGGAGGGCCCGATACAAATAAATGGGTGAAACCGCGGGTCGCACATTTATTTAATGGCTTTCTAGTAATTGAAGACACGACAATTTTAGCTGTTGATCTTATGACATGGGTTGTTCGCTTCGCACAAGCTTGGTATTAGGTCATTGTAACGTCATAGGCATAGATAATAAATTAGACTCAGATATAGGTTTTGCTACGCAAAAGGATTGGAATTACTTGGTTGTAATGTATTGAACTCAATTAAAAACTCATATCGCGGGCATTTCTCCGCGGGCCACACAATTCATCCGTGGGGGCCGCATTTGGCCCGCAGGTTGCACACCCCTGATTTAGGGCCATAAACTTGGAACGGTTATCCAGAATGAGGTAACCTGGTGAGTTCAATGCAAAATAGAACCGATTTCAAAAATTTGAATCTCATCACCGGGTAAAACCTTGGTATTTTGCGTAACAGATTAAAATCTTCTGGTTGAGGGGTCATTTGTCAAACACTGAACTGAACTAAAAGTCAATTTAAAGTTAGGCAATCTAGTAAACTACAAATGATTGCTGCAATCGTCTGGTTAACAACCATGAGTAAAAGGTAATCAGCGAAATAGTTATTGTTTTTAGAACTATGATTTTGGCGGCGCGGTTTTCTGAAATACATGTACAAGTAATGAACCCTGTTTTTATCGAGCTTAATGGAAAAGGGAACCTGTTCTTGAAATTTTACATCCTTTCACTGGCTAAAAGTCTATTATTTTGGCTTGGTAGTTTAAAGTTCTGGGTTTATTCGTAAAGTACGCAATGTCATGTCTTCTTCAAATCAAACAAAGAAAAAAGCCTATTAAACTTGAGCAATCTAGTCAACTGATTGCTGCATTTGTCTGGTTTAATCTGAACATATAAACCTGAAACGGGGTCAACGGGCGCGCTGAGCTCTAGGAACCAGCATATCATTTCAACGGTGACTAACCGTGTACGTTTCAAGATTTCAATATCGTGGGGATATTCAGTTGCGATAGCATTGCTGGAACCCACGGGTGGAGCCTTCGGGGTTGATGGCCGGAACCCCCCTTTGAAATATGAAAAAAGCATTTTTCTCTATCATACTCTAGCTAACTGCTATGGTCTAACTTGGCAATTAGAAATTTCAGAAGCCACTCCCTCCCTACATATACATACCCTCTGATGGAATCTCCACCGTCGTAGGGTGGGTCACATACCCACTGGCAGATTAATGCTCCCTTCACTGTCCAAGTAATGCAAAGATATTGGTATTAAGAGTTTTGAGTCGTCTAAAAAGACAACAACAGCTTGTACCCATCACTGACAGCAACTTCGTGTATTCCGGTCAAACATCCCATCAAGTTGTATAATGCAAATTATGGAACACAAAATGCAATTTATATCATATTCAACATGTAATATTTGCTAAATAAAACAAAGCAAAGTTTTTCAAATATTTCTCAAATAGAACAGAGTGATGTATCAGAATAGATTAAATATACACTCTAAAAAAACTTGAGTGACTAATTCGGAAGAGTTAGGAAAAAAATGACTCAATCGTGACTCGAGCGTCATTTCTCTCGCACTCTCACTCGTTTTTGAGTCGAATATTCTCTCGTTTGACGACCGCCTTCTTTCTCTCGCCGCTAATTTCTCTGTTTATTTTTTAAAGTTGGAACCGGCGAAGCGTAGAATTGGGCGGGGAAATTGTTTTCGAAGTCGTCGACGGCGGTTGTTTCGGCCGAAGGTTATCATGCAGCATGGCCACTCGCAGCTTGCGTGGCCTATCAGTTACGGTTAAAGATATTATGCTGGCATTTTTATTTTGCGTGAGAGGCCAATAGGACAGTTGGATGGGGGAGGCTAGGCCGTTGTTTTTTACAGTTGGATTACTGAGTGAATTGCTGTTATGGGAGAATGAAATTTAGCTTTCACCTGCTAACTTACATTCTGACAGTGCTGACACAGTAACAGTTTCGGCGCGGTTGTCCGTTGTCGGTAAGTGATTGCTAGCAGTGGATTCAAATAAGATTATCGAAATGAGCATGAACTGCAGTATAACACAACTGGCTACTGAGCCAAGTTAGGTCTGCCGGCCTAAGCTACCGGTAGGCCTACTGTCTGACTGTTAAGTTAACTTTATGTCTGAAGTAGGCTACATGCTGTTAGCTCAAGTTACAGACACACAGGCCTACAACTTGATGACTGCAGTCTACTGGTTCTATAAAACAGTACGTGTACAACTAGCCTATGTCAGTCTGCCATCTCTTTCTTTCTTGAACAGTTACCGATAACTCATTGCAGTGTTAAATTGGTACTTTTATCACACTGCTTGCACAGCTATAGGCCTGGTATATATACTGTTATTTGTTTTAGGCTCTTTTGAGCCTCATAATGAATTTTTATGTGTGTCCAATGGAAGGTTGTGAATGTAAGATGAGGGGGACAGATGAACTATCACTTCATTTACGTCACCAACATGATCTGTCAAAGACGAAATATATAAATATTACTTGTTCTCAAAATCAATGTTGCACAACCTTTACTCGACTTGACAATTTTTTACGGCATTTGAAAAAATTCCACCAACTAGTATTATAATCTCGACGTGAGACAACTGATAATACAGATCTAAGAATTCCTGAATCAACTGAAATTCATGACATGCCCGATATGAGTGCTAATGAGAGCCACTTTCCAGAAGATTTATTATTGAAGAGCATAGAAAGTTTTATTTTGAAGTTACGGTGCAAGAGTGGAATTAACGAATGTACGCTGGTACTTTTTTTGACCTTTTTGAAAGAGTTTTTGTTGGATTTTAAAGTCTACCTAATACATTCTATAAGGAATTCATCACTACAAGCTAATGACGGTACCGATGCTTTCTTGAACGTAGTGATTGTTGGTTTCGAAAAAACATTAAATTATATCGAAAGAATGGATACCATTTATAAACAAAATAATTACTTCTCCAAAGTCCTAAATATGATTTCCCCTGTAGAAGTAGCTCTTGGTTCCAGAATTGATCAGCGGTATGATAAAGATTCGGCGAAGTACATGTCAGTTGCTGTGACTGAATCATTTCAGTTCATTTCAATGATAAAAATTATCAAAAAAATGCTACAACACTCCGCTGACCTGAAAGCATTTTTAAAACCCCCAAAAGAGTCTTTAAATTATATTGGTTCTTATTGTGACGGATCTGTATTCAAGTCGCATAAGCTCTATCAAAAATTTCCTGAAGCGTTGCAAATTCAACGCTACTATGATGATGTTGAAGTTGTGAATCCTCTTGGATCCAAGACTAAAGTTCATGAGTTGGCATTGTTTTATTATACTATACAGAATCTTCCAAGAAAAGTTAACTCGGCTCTATCAAACATTCATTTATTGGCGATTGCTTATTCTCTTGATGTTAAAAAATATGGGTTTTCACAACTTCTTGAACCTTTTTTCGACAAGTTAAAACAACTTGAAAGTGAAGATGGTGTATTATTAGATGACGGTACTATTTCACGTGGCACAATATCAATGGTCACAGCAGACACACTAGCAGCTCATTCAATGTTAGGTTTTCAATCTCCATCTGCTAGATACTTTTGTAGATTATGCTGTGCTGAGCGCAAAGACATTCAGGAAAAATTTATGGAGTCTGATTTTGTTTTGAGAAATGCCGAAGATTACCAGTCAGTTGTTGAGAATGGTAATTTTCCTGTACAAGGCATATCTCATCCATCGCCTTTTCTGAAATCAAAATATTTTCATGTTGCTGAAAATTTTTGTTTTGATCCTATGCACGACTTACTAGAAGGCATTGTCCCAAAGGAAATAAAATTAGTGCTTCATCATTTGGTATACGAAATGAAACTATTATCTGTGCAGGAGATAAATTCACGGTTATCATCATTTGACTTTGGAATAATTGAAAATGCAAACAAACCTTCTGCAAACATTGTGGAAAGTAATCTTAGAAACAAGGCAGATGGCACATTGAAGCAAAAGTCAGCACAAACTTGGTGTCTCATCCGTCATTTTCCTTTGATATTTGCCGATGTTTTGGGCGAAAATAGTTTGCACTTGGAGTT